GCTCTCCAAGAGCAGTATCGGACACCCAACACCCTTTCCATTCAGGGAGCGACTAAACGCTGCTGGTCTAGTTGAGGTTGTGGTCGTATGAGATTAAAACAGCGTCTGTTTGAGTTTTTTTTTCTTGTAAAAATACTTCAAACGTCCCCCTAAACAAGCTATGGACAGCTGAACATGAATACGATTGTAGTAAGTAGTAAAATAAATATTTAAAAATAGTTAGAACTTTAATGTAAGTTTTTGAGAATAAATTTTAAAAAGTAATGTTTATTTTGCTGTTGATGGGCGCTCCCTAAAAACATACTGAATGGATATAATTTCACTTAAAACATTTTTTTTTAAATCTAAATGGTAATCATGGTAACATGATGACACCATGACAACACTCAGCAGTCCAGGGATGCAAACTCATCAGTATTTGACAGACACATGTATGTTTGCATGAATATAGTCGGAAAATGTATTTTCGATTATGTACACTTCAGTTTGTGCATATTTAAATGTTCATCAGCTACCTTGTAATATTTAGCCTGTAGATCAGCCTTAAATAAATATATATATTTTGTTGGATCTATGTAATGATATAACCCACAGTCAGAACTGCGAGGGATTCTGGGTATTTTGTGGTCACGAAAGTGCAGGAAATTTGAGCATTGCATGGTCAAAAGCTTTACGGTCAAAAATTAAGTGTTTCTCAGTGTCTCCTACAGCGGGATGTATTTATGCGTGTAGATAGAGATTATTTTAATTACAGTGAAATTCTGTTTTTCCTCCATTTGGCAGCTGCTCACGTTTATGGCTCGGTTGTAAATTTGCAGGTCTTGTGAAAGAAAGACTGAATCTTTACACGAGCGGTTTGTTTTCTGATTGTGCTTCTCGCCTGACAATGCTACAGTCTTTGGTAGAAAATCTCATTTTAAAATATCTAAATAAAGGACTTGTTACACAGCAAATAGAAAGTAGAAACCAATGAAATAATTTGGGTTAAAGGAGATAAACCAATTAAAACCAATCGTCTGGAGGTTTGTTTCTTCTCAGTAGGGATGGTCACACTAGATTTTAAGTATGCAAAAGTATTATCTTTTTTATTGTACTTTTTTTTGCTATATATATATATATATATATATATATATATAGGCAACAGGATACAATGTCATGCATACCATACAGACTTCTCATTTGAATGCATTATGAATAATAATAATAAATTTAGGATATTAACTATTCCAGTTTGTAGATTTCAGTATGCATGTTTTTAAATGTGTATTGATGTGAATCTAGTGTGACCGTACCTTTGGAGTGTTTGACCTGGTTTCTTAAAGTCTGATTTGAGATCAGATTCCTGTCATACAGCGACTGGTCTACGGTCAGCAAGAAGGAAACTTGTGAGCTGCTTTGATAAACATTCCCCCGTTTTTCTCCTTTGTTTCTGCTGCGGTTTTTGTAAAAGTTTGGTTGTGCTTAAATGAACGTACGACTAAAGCAGATATTCTTTGTACTGATATTGAGAAGTATATGATCACATTAAAGTTTATGTTTCATGCAGCCCTGACGACTCGACTGTTCTTCTTGAAATGTCTGGATATATTTAGCTGCTTATTTCTGCAGATGGTCATATGAATCGAAGGTCAGCGTCGGCTACAATGAGTCACGCTTGTCCACCACAGATTCACGTTTCGTTTCCAAACGTTCCTGTAATTTGTCACTGGAACATGAGCTGGTGAGCTGTCATGTCATGTGACCACTGATGAATCAACATCAGTCTGATATATCAAGTGAGTTCATGTATAAAAAAAAAAAAGACCAAAAGTCTGAGAATACTTGTAGAAGTATAGACTTTTTGTTTCCGTCACAGGATTAAAAAGTAAAACAGGTGTTTGCGACTTCTCACAATTGCGAGAAATAAACTCAAAATTCTGAGCGTTTATATTTTTTTAATTATTTTTTCTCAAAATTTTTACATCTCACAATTCTGACTTTTTTTCCAGAATTTTGATTCTGATCATCTCATGATCCTGACTATTTGTTTCCACAATGTAAAAAAAATAAAATAAAAAGTTAATTGTGACTTTTCATCTCACAATTCGGACTTTTTCAGAATTGTAATTTTATATCTTGCAATTCTAACTTTATCACAATTCAAAATTTTCTTGCATTTCTGAGAAAAAAAGGCAGAAATGCTAAATATAAACTCAGAATTTTGACTTTTTCTCACAAGTTTGCATCTTGCAATTCGACTTTTTGACTTTTAGTTTTGTTTCCGCCACGGAATAAAAAATGTAATTGGGACTTTTTAACTCACATTTTTGACTTTTTTCTCAGAACTGTAAGTTTATCTTGCAATTTTGACATGTTTCGCAGTTCTTACTTTTGATGATTTATCAATTTAATTTAATTTAAAATTCTGATTTTTTGTTTCCGCAACGGAATATAAAATCTCACACAATTCTGACTTTTTCCGCAACGGAATAGAAAATCTCACAATTCTGACTTTTTGTTTCCGCAACGGAATAGAAAATCTCGCAATTCTGACTTTTTGTTTCCGCAACGGAATAGAAAATCTCGCAATTCTGACTTTTTGTTTCCGCAACGGAATAGAAAATCTCGCAATTCTGACTTTTTGTTTCCGCAACGGAATAGAAAATCTCGCAATTCTGACTTTTTGTTTACGCAACGGAATACAAAATCTCGCAATTCTGAGTTTTTGTTTCCGCAACGGAATAGAAAATCTCGCAATTCTGACTTTTTGTTTCCGCAACGGAATAGAAAATCTCACAGTTCTGACATTTTGTTTCCGCAATGGAATAGAAAATCTCACAATTCTGACCTTTTGTTTCCGCAACGGAATAGAAAATCTCACACAATTCTGACTTTTTGTTTCCGCAACGGAATAGAAAATCTCGCAATTCTGACTTTTTGTTTCCGCAACGGAATAGAAAATCTCGCAATTCTGACTTTTTGTTTCCGCAACGGAATAGAAAATCTCGGACATCGTCAAGATCTTTTCTGAAACGGAATAGAAAATCTCGCAATTCTGACTTTTTGTTTATGCAACGGAATAGAAAATCTCACACAACTCTGACTTTTTGTTTCCGCAACGGAATAGAAAATCTTGCAATTCTGACTTTTTGTTTTCGCAATCACAATTCTGACTTTTTTTTCTCAGAATTGCGAATCACAATTCCAACTTTATATCTTGCCATTTTTCTCAGATTGGGAGATATAAACTCAGAATTGTTGAGAAAAAAGAATTGACTTTTTTTTTTTTACTCTGTGGGTGGAAACAGGCTTCCATCACTGAGACATTGTCAAGATCTTTTCTGAAACCCATGAGGAGACACATGTGAGATTACTGGCCTGTTGTCCCTCCGTTCTCTACATCCTGCAGGTATGCTGGGTAAATGATTTCTCCTCTTCAGCGACACCTGCTCTCTGTGATAAACATCCAGTGCATCTGTCAGCGTTTGGCTGCAGTTCAGACGTGTGATTGGTCCAGTCACGTCCCAAAGACTCTTTGATGTCAAGCAGAGCCTTCTGATTGGCTGCCTGGAAGAGATGACCTTTGATTGGCCGGCGCTTCATAGAGGTGATCGTGCAGTTGCTGTCATTGTACGTTTAGCATTTATACCTAAACATCTGCAGACTTCTGCAGCTCACGCTCATAAATGGCTGTAAAATTACACGTCTATCAGATGGAGCTTAAAGGAGAAAAAAGCTTTATCATTGCTGAAACGCGGCCAGATTTAGTCAAAACTGCCTTTGTTTGCCCAACAGGAACAGATTAAAGAAAGACAACGCTGAGATAGACGTGTAATGCAGCTGGATAATGAGAGTTACAGTGGCAGAAGAGAAGATGTGATTGTTTGGTTCATGAAGACGTGTGGCTTCATGCAACAGACACACAAAATGCAAGATTAACTTGAGTTTGTGAATTAGGGTTATTGCACACTAATCATCTTAAATATATGAAGACAATGCCAATATGTACAGAATATGAAAAAAAAAAAAAAATATATATATATCCCATAAATCAATGCACTCAATTTCACCTTAATTTTCAGTGTGCGAATGAAATATAAATGACATCAGCTGTGATTTTCATGCAATATAATGCAACAGTAAAGTTGTACTGTACTACGTTTTGAGACATGGAAGCTTTTTTCTGCCACAGAATAAAAAGGTAATTGCAACTTTTTTGTTACAACTTAGATATTTTTGTTGCAGTTCTGAGTTCATATCTCAAAGTTATTGACTTTTTTTTTTTCTCAGAGTAACAAGATAGAAACTTAAAATTGCGAGAAAAAGTTTAGAATTGTGAGATAAACATGCAAAATTGTGAGATGTCAGAATTGTGAATTTATATCTCACTTATGGTGCTTATGACCTTTTCATCTCACAATTTGGGTACGTTTCTTGCAATTCTGAGTTTACATCTCACAATTTTCAGAATTATAAAGATATAAGCTCAGAATTGTGAGTTGTGAACTCAGAATTCAAAGAAAAGTCAGAACTGTGAGAGAGTAATTCAGAATTCTGAGAAAAATAGTCAGAATTGTGAAATTTATCTCACAATTATCAACTTTTTTTCTCAGAATTGCTAAAAATCTAAATCTAAATAGTTGTATCTTGCAATTATGATTTTTTTTTCAGAATTGTGAAAGGGAAACTTTATTTGAAGAATTTATGTCTTGCTATTTTAAGTTTATATCTCATAATTGACCCTTTTTTTACTCAATTGTGAGTTTATATCTTGCAATTCTGAATTTGAAGGAATTTCGGAATTAAATTTCTGTATAAATTATGTAAAATCAAATTACTGTATTTGATTCAATGGGATAATTTATGCAAGAACATAGTCGATTTACACAGAAATATGCTCTTCTCGTGTTTCATCAGTACTATGTTTTTAAATGGTAGACAATAAACAGCAATCAATTCAGTGGACACATGAAATTCACATTCATTAATTATTCTAGGGTTTGCTAAAAAAAAACCTTTCTATGCTCCATAGAAATGCATTTTATAAAGTAGACTTGAAAGTCTTCTATATGTCGACCAAACCTGCTTTGCGTGTGAATTCTTGTCACGTACGCTGCTTAAAAAGGAAGTTTAGTAGCCTATCTATTGAATCAATATGAGCCGGGCTGAACTTGATCAATATTGTACATTAGTGGCTGGATGTGTCCGTATGAAAGCAGATAAGCTGGTTCTAGAGTTTAATGATGATGTTACTGTGTTACAGGTCTGATCTGTCCTCTGTTTCAGTCAGGAGGCCCATGTTCTTCAAAATGACCTTCTCCAGATCCAGAAACTGTTCGTATTCCTTCAGCGCTTCTGCCTCCAGTTCCTCTTCCTGTTTCAGTGGCATCGCCGGCTCCTGATGAACAACAAACCACACAAGTAATCAAACACAAAAGTTCAAAGGCATTTGCAACTACAGTTTTTGATATGGACCAAAGCTTCATCAGGCTTATTGAGTCCAAGAGCAGTCCAAAATCAGTCAAATCAAGTGCACACTACCAAAAAAAAAGTAAAAATCTTACTCAGTATTTTTGTCTCGTTTTCCACAACACATTTTTAACATTCTTAAATCAGGATATGTTTATTTGAGAAACACAATGACACAAGATTAAGTCTTGTTGAGTGCTTAAAACAAGATATCTGCCAATAAGGTTCAGATAAAAAAAATATGATAAAAATTTTTTTTTTCTTGTTTTAAAGGTAACTGTTCTGGAACAGTGTTGTAAATACAACTTAACCACTGATTTGTAGTCGTGTCCTCTTTTGGAGGCTAGAGTGAGCTGAGGGAGGGATAGAGTGAGCTGAGGCGGCGGGGTCGAGAACGGAGCGCCTGGCGGATCCGATGAATGAGCGGCAACCACATGTGACGACCCCGGGCTGTGTTAGAACGAGCAGTTTTAGGTAGGTGTGGCTGACTCTGAACTTTTATAAAGAATATTTCTTTGGATTTGAGACTTTAGTCTTTGCAACTTTACAGATCTTCTTTATGCACCAAGAGCTTGTAACACTCCAAAGAGAATGAACAATTTAAATCGCATCATATGACCCCTTTAAGCATAAATTCCCTTCATTTTGATAAACTCTTTCAGAAAAAGGCTTAATATCTTATCTTATAATATTTTAATTTATTTGAAATAAATTTATTTAATTGGTTTTAAGTTATTTTTGTAAGTATTTTTAATTTGTTTTAAATTCAACATCTCATATTGTTTTATTTTGATTGTTTTTAGTTTATTTATTTTTTATTTATTTCAAATACAATATTTCATATATTTTTATTAATTTCATTTTGATTGATTTTATTTTAAAAAATATAAAATATTTTCTGTTTTATTTTGATAAGTATTTATTTCATTTTTTTTATTTATTTAAATATATTGAGTGCTTAAAACAAGATATCTGCCAATAAGGTTCAGATAAATAATCTGATAAAAAAAAATATTTTTCTTGTTTTAAGCATAAACTCCCTTCATTTTGATAAACTTTTTCAGAAAAAGGCTTAATATGTTATGTCATTTTGCTTCTCAAGTAAATGCATCTTGATTTTCTGTTTAGATATTTGTACTGGAACACAAGACAAAAATACTGAGAAAGAACATTACTTTTTACAGTGTATTACAAGTTTTGTATTTATATTACAATTTTTCTGAAATATTATGTTTAAATATGCAAATTATGCATTATCTTATTAAATATGCACTTATTTGCATAAACTTCCAGAAGATAAATCTGAACATTGGATAAAGCCAGGTTAAATTTTGTTGACATACTAGAGTTAAAGGTTTTAAAGGTTTTTATCACGCTATAAATAAAAAAATACTGTCAATAGACAGAAAAATATACATTTTTCACCATGTTTTTAAGAATAAAATGTGAATATAAATCAGTCTGAATGATACATGAACAAACCCCTCAGTAAAATCCTTCAGAATATAGAGAGGAATAAAATTGGTTTATGTAAGTGATACTGAAGTGGAGTAAAAACCGATTGACATTTACAGACGCAAATGGATCTAGTGCAATACAATAAACACAAATGTGCATTTTAAACGTTTTCTTTTCTCTAGTCTGAAATAACATGAAAAGCCAAATATCCCAAAATCGCAAAATTGACTAGTGCATGAAAAAACACTGGTTTTGCCTGCAGCGTCAGAAACATTAAGTGTTTGTCTTGAAATCCCTCCACAAAGCCTCCAGCATCATGTGTCCGCGGGCGTCAGTGGGGTGTGAAACACAAACGAGTGTGTTTCTGACCCTCAGAGAGACAGACGCAAGCATACTTTCATATTTAGTAAATATATATTCAGCAAGTCTGAGCAGATCTGGAATCGCTCAAACACACATTCCAGCTCAACTACAGCTGGGGGTTTCATCTGTGTTTGCCATCAGACACACACACACACACACACTCACACTCACACACACACACACAAAAACATTTACTCTGCTATCGAAATGGGGACATTGCATAGACTTCTATTGTTTTTATATACAGCTAGCTGAAATTTTTTTTGTATTATTTTATTTCAGTCAACATTTTTTTTAAGTCCAATAATTCAATGTTTTTTTTTTATGGTTTTGGTTTTAGTTAACTATAATAACCCTGGTAAATGTTCCTTTAAACGAGTGTTTCCTCTCTCACCGTCTTCTTCCTCTGTTGTTCGGCTTCCATCTCTTTCTTTTCCTTCTCGTGTTTGATCTGGCGTTTCTCGAAATACTCCAGCCGTTCCTCTTCCTTCTCAAAGTACTTCTTCACAATCTGCCTCTGCAGGAAACATACTGCGCTGTTATACATGCGTGCTTTGATCCAAGCCCTACCTAGACGGCTTTTTTTAGGCATCATAGTCACGATTACAGGCTGTTCTGACAAAATTATGCAGCTGCCTTATAAGATACTTCATTTTGAGCATTAACGCAATCGTTCTGCCAAAAATGAAAATTTGCTGAGAATTTACTCATCCTCAGGTCATCCAAGATGTGGATGAGTTTGTTTCTTCATCAGATTTGGAGAAATGTAGCATTGCGTCACTTGCTCTCCAATGTATGTGAATGGGTGCCGTCAGAACGAGAGTCCAAACAGCTGATAAAAACATCACAATAATCCACAGTGAAAATTACTTGCAGTGAAAAAGTGGTCTGGTCTGAATCAGGAGAGAAATCTGCACAGATCAAGTACTGTTTACAAGCCAAAACAAGATCAAAATGAGTCTATAAACAAATATGTGGCTGGATTTTGATGTGAGAGACAACAGGAGATGGACTTTTTCACTGGAGGAAGCGTTATTATGGCTCATGGACTCGTATTTTAGTTAAAAACATCTTAATGCTGGATTTGTT